TAAGAATTCGTAAAAATTTTTCTTTTTAAATCTAAGATTTGAAAATCTAATACAAGATTACTCATAAGATTGTCTACCTTTATCAATAAAAAAATCTCTACCGGAAAGTCAAATTAAATTTTTATGAGCGTTTGAAATTCAAATTTTTACACATTGGATATTCACTCGATTTCTCATGTGGCAATTTCCTTTTTTTGTTGTAATTAAAAAACGAATTACTATGTAGATACATGAAAATTTCACTGAATGTTTATATTAGCATTTCCTATACACCATACAATTTTGAAAATATTTTGACTCTTTTTGAGCCGTTTACGGACATTTTCAGTTTTCAATTTTTTTAGTTTTTTTTTCTATAAATATCAATTAAGTTTTATCTGTTGGGCCAAAAAGTGTAAAAATTAAATACAAGGCTCCTGATATATTGTTACAATATCAGTTGAAAAATATTAAAAATACATAGGCACAATTTTTTTTTATAAGCATTTTAACATCGAATTTTGACAGAATTTTTCAAAATCTCGAAAATTATTAATCATCGTAATTAATAAATTATAAAATGTTCAGTTTTTATAGCTAAGGATTGAAAATTTAAAACAAGATTCCACGTAAGTAGTTAATTCTCTTACCGAAAAATCTAAAACATATACAATCACAGTTTATTTTTATAGTAATTTTATGTTCAAATTTGGACGAAATTACATATTAAAAAACCTAGTTATTTTGTTGTGATTATATAATATTATTCGTGGGTACCTACTTGAAACTTCTAAAGTGTACTATTATATATATATGATAGTATCAGGGTTTGTTGTTGGTGTATAACGTGTTATAAGTACCTAATGGATATTGTGATAATGTGATATGATTAATTTGGAATTTATTATACCTAGGTCAATTTTTTTTTAATACCATAGATATGTATATAATTTGTCTTAACCTAGACTGACATACCGTCTTCGCTCAGAATCGTTTTTCTTATACAATGATATTGTATCATTGAATTCAAATTTAATAGCATCAATTATACAGTGACCCACTTGTAACCTACTGTACAGCAGAGCGACATCCACTTACCCACCTTTTATCATTAGGTATATAGGGAATATTTTATGGTAGTTTTTTAGGGGGGCTGCAACCCACGTATTTTTCATACGTTTTAGACCAATAAGCGGTGGTTAATTACACGTACTTCGGTATGTCCGATTAAAATGTTTTATACATGTTTGAATTCATTGATAAAATATATAGGTTTCTTTAGAAGTCGATTTTCAATTTTAAATTTATAATGACCCTAAAATAACCATTTTAGATTCTGAGTGAAACGATGAATGTATTGATTTTACAATGATGTGTTTTTTTTTTTTTTTTTTTGTGTCTGTGTACACGATAAGTAATGAGTAGGAAGTCCCATCAATTTAGGGAGCATCATAAAAACAAATGATAAAAAAAAAAATTTAAGATAATAATTTTAATTTTATACTGTAGTACCGAATAAGAGTATCTATCAAATTGTTTATATTAATATATTATTATACTATTAACTATCAAGTATAAAATTATGTAAACAATGAATTACATATACTAAGTATGTTTATCTTTATACTTACATGCCTATAATAATGTATAAATATCAATATTATTGATACATTATTAATGATGATATAATATGATTACAAATTATTATAACTTTGTAGGTACTATACCCATAGATTGTAAGTACCATAACAACCTACCATTTTATATTACGACAACATTTTCTTATGTTTATTAATATTAAATAGATTACAAAAATTCCAAAATATTTTGAACATTTTAATGTACCTATTTAAGTTTATTTTTTAGAGTTACACCAAAGCACAAAATTGATTTTTTCTAAAAATGGTTTTGTATCTTAGTTTTTCCTTAATTGTTGGTTTATTTGTCTTGATGTTTTTGAAAAGTTCTGGGAATTTTTTACTTTTGACCCTCCAAAGTACTAACTAGATCAGTGGCGTCATTTCAGTTTTTATTAGACTAGGGCAATTTTTCACTACTTTTCCGACTCAATAATTTTTTCACTCAGATTCTCATAGCATAGTGGCATAGTGGTAAACGGGGGTGGGAGGAGTGTGATAAATGTGCCGACTTAAGGTTGATGTAAATACTAGAGTACTAGACTGGGGCAAATGCCCCAGTTGCCCTCCCCCAAATGACGCCACTGAACTAGATTCTTTTTAATGTTGAAGTAGATAAGCTGTTAAGCATTTTTACTGCACCAAAATGTGATGACACAAAAATAAAATAAAATATTACATCATTGTAAAATCAACACAATCATCGCTCCAATCAGAATCTAAAATAGATACCTAAAATACCTACTTATATTTCTTCTTTAACTGATACTGTAAGTACATCATGCATAAATTATTTATTGTACCTAAAAATTCAAATCTTTGTTAATAAATTGCCTCTGAATTATATATCTGAACTTGAACTGATATTATTATTTAAGCCTAATACCAAGAATCCGACACCTGTTACAAGTTGTATTTTAATAAACATTTAATAGCTTATTATAACATCAATTTATTAAAAATCACATCCCAAAGTTTCATCCAGTATCGTTAAAGTCTATAGATCAGAAATTACCTCAACTTGGCACATAATACATTATACAAACTACACACATATGTTTACTATGTTAGTTAAATAACTGCTTACCCTCCAAAACGGTATCATAATAAATAAATAACACTTAATTTGCAATACCTATGTTACAGTTACTTAAATATATATGTTTACAAGAACTACAATGAAATGTATTTTTTTGTTTCTTATAGTCAGCAAAAGAGGGTTTTAAAATTCCAGATAAACTAGGATATCAATGCACCTATATAACATGGACTACTCAATTATGTTTTCTTCTGTTCATACATATATTTCGTCATTACCAGTTTCAGATAGATGAAATTACACAACTGAATAATGATTAATTTTAATAATAATTTTATAATTTTTGAAATTAATTATGTTTGCGAGGAATGAAACATTAAATTATTGTTAAGATTGTAAGTATCAAACTATTGTTTATAAAAATACTATAAATTTAAATTAAGTTAATTTGTACCTTTGTAGTTTATAATAATAATAATAATAATGACACAGTTTAACACTTAAACCATAATGGCCTATATTAAAGATGTTCCACAGATTCTGAAATTTTTTAAAATTGTATTCATTACTTTTATAATGTTTAGTGACTAATATGTATGTAAACTGTTTTGTGGTATATATGTATTGTTTAATATATTATACAATATTAAAACTTATATAAATACTGTTTTATATTACGGCCGTGGTACGCAAAATTCTTATAAAATATTAAGTGCTATATACATTATTATTTATTATATATACCAAAATATTATTACTTTTTTGAGATGTTGATCATGAATATTGTAAAAACATAAATTACACTTAAGTAAACATGGTGTGTGAAGAATATTATTATTGAATTAACCAATGTGTTAAACAGTTTACTAATTAACATAATATAGTCATAGTTGTCTATCGTAAAGTACTGTTTAGACTTATACTATATATTAGTAATATAAAATATTATATTATTATATATTCATCAATAGAGATTGACTACCTGTTTTAAATAATTTTTAAATTCAGCGGCCAGTGATAAATGTTATTTGTTGTTTATTCCAAGCCAAACTGATATGATATTTTCATCCATGAAAGTGATATAAACCACATTGTCTGGTTTATCGGATCACTACTAATTGTTCCACAAAATATTTGTTCCACACTACAGGCTGCAGGTTATGTAACAGATATGATGCACTGATAATATTCCGTTATGGTGCGGACGTGTGGACGCCATTTTGGTATTTGTCCAACAAGTAACAACAGTGAACTGACTCGTTCGTGAAGTGTGAACTCAGAACTACAGACTACATTACTTGTACTTGTACTATTTAGTATTTACTACTACTACAACTACAGTGTACACTGTACATATTATAATTTATAATAGTTATTAAGTAATTACAAATCACAATTCACATTATTCACAAGACGTCGAATCACAAATACAGTTACAACTTCTATAGTCACAACTCAAGTGTCCGAATCTCGAAAGTTCAATTTTTTCCTATGTTCCATAATTCCATGTTTCCGCAACTCTCAATGACTAATGATTAAATTTACTGTAACTCTTAGATGTCCTTTGGTGTTTGGTATCTCGGCCCTCGTGGCTCGCCTGCTCGTACTCGATCCTCATTGCTCCTTAGCATTAGTCATTTCTCAACGTCACAGGTTATTGAAACTACACGTACTCACGTGACTTGATCAAATGTTCATAAATAGTTATGTTAACCAACTGTAATTGACTTCAGAATTCTTTCTATTGACAAAGTGCAATAGACAGTGATAATATTGCATTTTATATAAAACCTAGGACGCTTGGAACTTGGTTATTTTTTTTTACAATTTACTAATTAGTTGTTTCTACTGTAGTACTGTACTCGAGTTGTGTATTGTGTTTTTTTCCTTCGTACAATACAGCTGAAACACGTGTGATTTACAGTTCTAATTTATTGAACATTGCATGGTATATACAATTTTGGCTTTCAACATTAATACGGTAAGTATTTTAAACTACCTACACATTATATTACCATTAACTTTAATAATTTCAGTATTTCGATAAAGAGCTAAATATTTTAGTAATCCTTTAGAGTTTCACATATTTTAACTGCAGCTGTGCCCATTTTAAGTTAGTATTTATAATTTAGCTTTATGGAATATTATTTTTTTAAGCGTTATAACAACGGTATCTCTTATTAAGTAACATATTCAGTTACAATAAATATAAAACATAAATTATGTTTAAACCCTTAATAACCTGGATATACTTGTCTAATAAACTATTAACAATATCAATATAGACATATTATATTGTACATAACTGATATAGATACATTTGTTTATAGATAGAAGACTAAAAAATGTCTAAACATCGTGAATGGGATCCAACTTGTAAAGTATATATTGGTAATTTAAAAAGCAATGCCAATAAATACGAAATAGAAGATTTGTTTACAAAGTATGGTCCATTGAAAAATATTTGGATAGCAAGGAATCCACCTGGTTTTGCATTCATAGAATATGAAGACCCACGTGATGCAGAAGATGCAGTCCGTGGTTTAGATGGAACGTAAGACATTTAAAATTACAATTGTTAATTTTTATATATAACTGCAATCCCACTATCGCGAGAACAAACCATCTTCACCCACCTTGTCTGGATGTTCATTCTAGTGATATAATGTCTAGATAGGATTGCAATTGGTTGTTTAAAATAAAATGTTAAATTTATTAAAAGATGAATAATTTCAGTTATCCCTGTCAGACATTTTTATGTTGATAACATTAATTTTACCTGAAATGAGTTGGTGGAATAATTCAAAATATATTTGAACATTTTTTTATGATAAATAATATCAGTTATCCCTGTCAGACATTTTCATGTTGACAACATTAATTTTATTTGAAATTAATTGTAAGTGGTAGTTGCTTGGATCCTATACTATTTATGAAGTCATAACCATATCACCTGTATAAACAACTTGAGGCACATATAGGCGATGAGCTTCTGGTTGATATGTTTGATGTGCACATGCAAGAGGTGAACTGTCCCATATTTTTCTGTTGGTTGCTAATTGTTTTATTTCAGTATAATATATCAATTCACATAGATAAATATGAACAGTCGCTTTTCACACATCTGAAGTTCTCTTTGCACATGTGTACATCAAGCATCTCAGTTAAGTTAATATGTGCTTCAAGTTATTGGGAAATGGGTCCATCTATAGTATATAATCTAAGGGTAGTTCCTTAAAATATAATTTTAAATGTATATATGATGAATAATATCAGTTATCCCTGTCAGACATTTTTATGTTGATAACTTCTATTTTATCTGAAGTAAATTGCAACTATTAAATGCTTAAAATATAATTTTAAATGTATTTACCTATGATGAATAATATCAGTTATCCCTGTCAGACATTTTTATGTTGATAACTTATATTTTAACTGAAGTAAATTGTAACTATTAAATGCTTAAAATATAATTTTAAATATATTTATGATGAATAATATCAGTTATCCCTGTCAGACATTTTTATGTTGATAACGTTTATTTTATCTGAAATTAATTGTAAGTGGTAGTTGTTTAAAATATAATTTTGTATGTATTTATCTTAGATCATATACAATGGATGGAGCTATGTGTGTATTTTTCGTATACCGAGCTGTGTCCAACATAACCCCCCACTACCCATTTAATTTCAAGGTACAACGAGTTATTGCGCATGCGTTGCGCCTATGCTGCTTTACATTCCATCCCCACCTCCCATTTGATTTCAAGGTACAACGAGTTATTACGCATGCGTTTCGCCAACAATCACTATAAAATAACTAATAAGTGGGGGGTTATGTTGGACACAGCAAATGATTAAAGTAGCTCCATCCATTGTATATGATCTAAGGTATTTATGATGAATAATATCAGTTATCCCTGTCAGACATTTTTATGTTGATAACTTCTATTTTATCTGAAGTAAATTGCAACTATTAAATGCTTAAAATATAATTTTAAATGTATTTATGATGAATAATATCAGTTATCCCTGTCAGACATTTTTATGTTGATAACTTCTATTTTAACTGAAGTCAATTGTAACTATTAAATGCTTAAAATATAATTTTAAATGTATTTATGATGAATAATATCAGTTATCCCTGTCAGACATTTTTATGTTGATAACATTTATTTTATCTGAAATTAATTGTAAGTGGTAGTTGTTTAAAATATAATTTTGTATGTATTTATGATGAATAATATCAGTTATCCCTGTCAGACATTTTTATGTTGATAAAACTTATATTTCAAACTGAAGTAAATTGTAACTATTAAATGCTTAAAATATAATTTTAAATGTATTTATGATGAATAATATCAGTTATCCCTGTCAGACATTTTTATGTTGATAACGTTTATTTTATCTGAAGTAAATTGCAACTATTAAATGCTTAAAATATAATTTTAAATGTATTTATGATGAATAATATCAGTTATCCCTGTCAGACATTTTTATGTTGATACAACTTCTATTTTAACTGAAGTAAATTGTAACTATTAAATGCTTAAAATATAATTTTAAATGTATTTATGATGAATAATATCAGTTATCCCTGTCAGACATTTTTATGTTGATAACTTGAAGATTATCTGAAATTAATTGTAAGCTGTAAAGGCCAGTTTACTGTCTACGGTTAAACCTCGATTACGCTTGATCAGCTGATAACAGATATTTAACCACTGGGCAAATTCAGCCAATTAAACTCAGATTAACTTTAATCGGAGATGGTACAACTGGTCCTAATTGCTTAAAATATAATTTTAAGCGTATATTTTAAGGTGAATAATATAAAAATGTCTGATAGGGATAACTGATATTAGTTATCCCTATCAGACATTTTTATGTTGAAAACTTGAAGTTTTTCTGAAATAATTTGTAAGAAGTTGTTATTTATTTATATATCTCAAAACTTATAACAATGAATTTTTTTAATAATAGTTGAAAATAATTATTTTTAGTATCGTGTGTCTAGAATAACAATAATCTTAGCTGCATTTGAGGTGGGTCCAATAAAATAATAAGTTTTAAATATTGTACAAATTGTGTAAAATTATGTGTTCCGATTTGATCTGTGTAAAGTTATTTATCTTATCATAGTAATATATAGTATGAGTACCATATGGATTCCCTACTTATTTTGATGTAGCAATTCACACAGTTATATTCACAGCTCGGTCATAAATAAATATAAAAGGTTGTAGATTTCACCTGGTCAAACTTAGGTGCAAAAGATCCAATTTAGAATTAAGTGTTGATTATAAAAAAAATCAGTATAACAACCAGACAACATTTGATTGTAAATGACAAAAACTATTTTAAACATTAAATAATTAAATTTATGAAAAAACACAAAAGTAAAATAAAACATTTTCAACCATACCTGTAATAACTAAATGTTAGCTTACTAAATGTCAGCTTACTATTTGTTTTCTCTCTGGAATACGCGCAACAGACAAAACTCATTTATGCAGAATAATATTTCCTATGATTTCATGTAATCTTAGTGTAAAATCACCAATTACAAAAAAATAGAGAATAATACTTTTGAGGGAATGACATATTAAAGTGTATAAATATTGTCTCAAAACAATTTAAATATACAAACATTTTTTTGTTTATTTTGATGGTTGAATATTAAGTCAAATAACAATAAAATATAAAATCAATGTCATTCTCTCAAAATTCTCTATCTTTTTTGTAATGGATGATTTTACTTAAAAACATACAAAAATGATTCTGCTTTAATGCTTTTTGTCTGTGTTACGCGTAAGCCAGAGAGAGAAAACAAATAGTGCGTTGACATCCTATTAAGATACAGACAGTCCTAAGTCTGTAAAAATGGGAAGGAAAATGTTTTTTATTTTTTCAGAGGCCTAATTTACTAACTAGTTAATCATTTTTTTTTATAACAAGACCCAACAATACTTGTTCAGTGTTTTTTTATACAGGACCCAATACAATTGAGATGAATCAGGGAACCATCTTGAAAATAGTATGTGACAATGATCTTAGGGTTTAAGTTTTGCTTTTTTTGCAATATTAAGTGACATTTTATTATAGCCGTGTACCTTATTACCATTGGTACGAATAAGAGGGGCTTTTAAGGACTAAGGCCTACCAAAAATATCCATAGCCCCCTAAACATTTCCTAAATTTTGTTTTAAGCATATTCAATATTATTACAGTAGGGTTTTGTCCTACCAAATATCCAATGCTATTTGAGCCCCCATGCTTATTACGTATCTCATATTTTACTATATTATTATGTATAAAATTATACTTTTTAGCATGTCTTTTATCTAAGATAAAACATTAATTCCAACATTAATCAACTAAAAAAAATTTTTTTATTCAGCTTTAAATTATACATTTATTATAAATTATAAACTTAGCTCACACACAATTATGTTCAGTGGAATCCTCATCTTGAAATTATAATTTTGAAGAATATATAATTAAAATGTGGCTTCCATATAATATAATATGATGTATAATTGTTATGTATTTGTGTACAATTTTAGAAGATGTTGTGGATCCAGAATTATTGTTCAAATGTCAACTGGAAAACGGTCCAGAGATAAATCACCTGTACATAGGTAATGTTCTTTATCTTATTGGTTTTTGTTTAAACTTTATACCTTAATTTTGATATCTGCATATTTATAGTTTATTATTAATTTTTATATTAATATAAAATTAAATATAACTGATGATGGGTAAATCTTTTGTTAAAATACTATTATATAATTTAAAATTAATGAGAATAAATACTTTTGGCAGGTTATTTATTATAGATACAACTTTATTGAATTCTTCATCATCATCACTACCACATCCACTACTACCATCACCTTTCAACACAGTACTACCAACTTGAGCCAGCAACAAACATCAGGGGGTGCGAGATTCTTGAATCCCCAATAGGCATTCTATTTTCATGAAACATTCATCATTTGGTTTTAATTGTCAATTCCCTCAATTGTATTGCAGTACAAAACAACAACTTAGCATTTGAAATTCATCTTCCTAGATACTGCTGCATGATTTGATTACATTGATTTTGCATCGCTCATCGTTTGTCATTATTCTGGTTATATTTTAGGTATTTAAAAAAACTATAGTTACTAGTAGGATATTTATAAATTGAGATTTATGTATTGAATTCTTGCCTAAAAAATGTTTATAATAAGTTTTAATAATATTTAATACTACAAATAGAAAAAAATAAATTTTTTATCATGAATTCTTTATAAAGTTAATACAAAGAAAACAAATTTATTTTCAATCCAGATTCAAGTAAAAATATATAAATCACATCACAAACCCCTTCCCCTCAATACATGCTACTTTATATCAGTGTTATGTCCCAATTCATTCCAATATTAATAACTTAAAAAAAGTGTGTAAACCTGGTCCATATAAATTAAACAATGTTCTTAAACGAATAAAGCAATGTAAAGATTTACCAGAAAGGATATGATATTTTCTACTCAAAATAGCGGCCCTGTTTTATTGTTTGTTTCATAATTTTCTGATATTATGTTTAACAACTTATAATATTCAAATTATACTGGTCCTTTGTTAATACATTTATCAGAATAATAAAACATAATTTATGTAGCTTAAGTATTTATTGGATGACAGGTTCCAGGTATAATACACAACCGTCATTTTTCTTGAGTTTTGTGCCACGACCATATTTTATTTTATAATATATATTTGAATATAAATACTTATAAGACAAAGTTCATTTAAAATATACCTTGTTGGTATAAAGTAATGTACTATTAATATTAATTTAACTAAATGCTAATTATAATTTGTAAATTTAGATGTGATATTTATCAAATAACCTAATATGTTTGTTCAGGAATTTAACACTTAACTATAGAATTTGTTGTAGTAGTAGATTTAAAATTCTTGTGACTGACATATTTTTTATTATGTTTAATTAATTTTAGAGGACGATCTTCACCTTCACGGCGAGGTTACCGTTCATATTCAAAATCACAATCAAGGAGTCGCTCACCAGTTTACAGAAGTAGAAAATCTCGTTCAAGGTCTTATTCTAGAGGAAAATACTAAAATCAGTTTTTATGCAAAACAATTATGTAACACATTTTTTATAAAATACATGATTTTATTTAAAAATACTTTTTGATTGGTTAAAACCATATAGGTTGCTCTCAATGATTGAAGGGTGTTTTGTATTAATTTTAACTACTGAAATTAATTTAGGCAAGTGAATGTTTGTCAAGTTTGTTTTAAATGATTTGTAATAAAATGTATCATACTTAACTTTACATATTTTGTCATGAATACACATTTTTACATGTTGAAAATTGAATAGCAGGAACCTTATTGAAATTGAAACATTAATAATATGTAATAAATTTTTGTTATTTAAATCAAAAAAGTCAACTTGCAACTAGCTGCAACGTGTAAAGTGATTTTGTTTGTATTGATATCTACATCTCTATCTTTAATAGTATTTTATGTTTAGTAGACAAGATATCATTTCATAGTATGTTGACTCTTTTTGTGTTATTTATAGATATTTTAAATTATAAACTTAGATTTCCTATTTATGTAGGTATGGTTAAATTTTTGTTTGTGGTTAAAATACTTGAAAATGTAATATTATCTCCCTCATAATTTGTTCTCAAAGAAAATAAAAGTATTCAAAATAAAATATAGGTATCCATATTTTATTTTGAAATTATAAAAGATTATATTTTACTCGTGTATATCACAAATCACAATAATACAATGGGGTATATCCGAATACGAATAGTGGCCTGTACACTCCCCATTGACCGTACATAATTTGTACATGATCTAAAAGTGTAACTGATAAAATGACAAGATTTCATGATAAAAAAAGGTGTTGTGCTGTACAGTATAGGTTACAGCTAGTAATACAGATGGTATTAAATTTGAATTCAATGATATAATATCATTGTATAAGAAAAACGATTCTGAGCAGAAGGCGGAAGCAGTATTTCAGTCTAGGCATAGGCGTGCGCAGACTTAAATTTCTGGTCGAGCCTAGACAATTATAGTGCCCTAATATTTGGACAGCGCCCCTAATTTTTTTTTAACACACCAACATACATGTTGATGTATTAACCTATTAATGTCTATAGTACTTGTCTATAGTAATTATATTTGTATAAAGGTATAATGTTTTTTTTTTTAGATTAATAAAATGTATGTAGTGATTAGGTTAGGTAGGTACATACAAATATTTTTGATTTTTTTATACTTTCACGACAAACAAAATGTTCATGATCTCCACGAACATATTATTATAATATAAACATTATAATAAAATATTTAAATATATACGTACATTTTACTATGCCCCTAAAAAGTTTCAGGTCGAGCCTGGCTTGACCGGCTCGCCCCGTGCGCACGCCTATGAGTCTAGGTATAAGACATTAGACATTATATAACTATGGTATTAAAAAAAATTGACCTATAATAAATTCCAAATTAATCATATCACAATATCCATTAGGTACTAAGGTACTTATAACTCGTTATACATCAACAACAAACCCTGATACTACCATAGATATATAATAGTGTACTTTAGAAATTTCAAGTACCTACTACCTACCCACGAACAATATTATGCAATCACAACAAAATAACTAAAATAATTATTCTTCTGAGTGGAAAGATGAATGTATTGATTTTACAATGATGTGTGTTTTTATTTTTAATATTTTTTTTTGTGTCTGTGAACACGATAAGTAGTCGAAATAATGCTACGATTTTCAACTTTAGTACCTACCTGGCTACCTATCTTGTTCGATTGGAAAGTAAATATCGTTGGTGCATTGAGGAAGTCAACATTTAATATTCCCAGTAATTTTCAAAAGCGCCAAGAAAAACAAAAGAAAAATTAAGGAAAAACGGGAATTTTTACCCAAAATCGACTTTGGTTTTTGGTGTAACTTTTAAACAAATGACCTTAGATACATGCAATTTTCACTGGTTGTTTATAGGTATTAGGCAGATGAAAAATATTAAAAATCCTTGGTCACAATTTTTTTTTATAAGCATTTAAAGTTTAAAAATTGACAAAATATGGAAAAACCACGAAAATTAGCAAATTATTTTGAGTTAAGAAATCATAAACGTTTTATTTTTAAATCTAAGGTTTTAAAATGTACTACAAGATTCCTTATAAGATTTTCTACCTTTATCAAAAAAAAAAAAAATGTCTATAAGAAAGTCAAATTAAATTTTTATGTTTGAAATTCAAATTTTTACAACATTGGATAGCGAGTATTATATAAAACAATATCATTATGTAATTTATTTATTATTATTTAATAGTAATATAATACTCATTATTACTATTGTGACTACGTTATTATTGTCCCATTCGGGAAATTCATATTGTAAACAACCTTTCCGTTTCTTTGAATTTGCTTTATAATTTTCATTAGCTCCTTCTAAATTAATGAAGGTCATCATTACCCTCATTTATAATTTATAAGTATTACATATATTATTGGGTTCGTATATATATTATACTTATCTATGGTATATGGTTAATATAATAACGTACTTGAATCATTGTAGAAACTGTTTTACAATAAATAATTCCTGCTGCTAGCAATAATATTATTATGCATAAATAGCGTAATAACTAAGAGTCCAGGTTAACATTTGGCAGGTCGGCAGGTCGGCTACATCAGAAGGTTCATCTTCACCCATCTAAAGAAATGGGAAACAATTATTTTATTTAAAGTTATACTCATACTTAAAATTCTAAACTTAATTATATTTACATCTTATATTGAGCAAGGCTTCATTTTGATATTTTGTAATATATTATGTACAAATACGAATAGGAACAATAATTAATACAACTATTTATAGTTGCTTTACACTTTCAGTTAAAAAAAAAAAATAAAATTGACCAAATACTATAGATATCATAAATCATATATCATAATATAGATATGGATAGCATATACATAAATACATAATACAGACATATTACATATAGATTAGATTTATAGTACCTACTGTCAGTCTTGAAAAGTATTCGAATAAAAGTACTTGAATATTTTTATTTATATTATTTATTCATTAAAAAAATACTTTTTTCCGATCCCGAAAAATTGTTTTAAACTTGTGGTTAGACATAGATATTATAAATCATGAACATTAATTTTATTCTTCGAACGAAATATAATATTGGCCCATGTCGCCTGTGACTACGAATATATTAATAATAGTAATAATATATTATATTATATTGTATTAGGTAAAATACGATTATAATATATATTATTATATTCAATAATAGACATAAATGCTACAGGGAGCAAGTAACCCCGATAATAGTAATAATATCAGCATCCGAGCGGCCACATCGATAATAACTAATTAATGGTACAGCCCGAACACGTGATTGGTATACGCGCGCAATATCTATATTCTAGGAAAGACGAAAAAGCCGTAAACAGCGGTAAGCGGAAAAAATGACCACGGAAAAAAAACCCACGAAAATAAAAGTATGTTTTATATTATTTTGTTGATTAACTCAAATACCTATCATAATACAATCACATAGTTATTTTATTTTGTGATAAAACAGTACATAATATTCAAACTATAAATATAATAATTAACAAATGTCTTAAGTGATGATATCATCACAATATTACAGATAATAATCGTGGGCATTTTTTCCGCGATTCGTAAACAGCACAAATAGATAACTTTGGAAACAATTAATCCATAATTAACATTATTTCGTAGAGGACGCCAGAAATGACCTCAGGTGTACGCGGCTATGTACCATTTATTATACAAAAAAATGCCATAGGAGGGAGCTATTAGAAATACCCGACGGAGTACGTCGATGGACAAGTGTCCATCAGACGAACACCAGCCGAGCAGACGAGCACCAGCAGAGCAGCCACCAAGTCGATACTAAGTCACATCTCGTTTACCACATTATTATAAATTAATTATTTGGACTTACGTGTTAAATAAATACAAATAAACTATCATTAAGAACAATCAAAACAATTTTGAAAATTTTTCATCTTCTAAATTCAATCAAGGAGGAAAATTCATCACTGAATCACGGTTGGGAGATTGATCACCTTCCAGCAACTCCGAGAAAGAATCCTGTACAACTACGTAACACCCAACTACAATCAACATTTCAACCGAGCAAATGGAAGCACCCGCTGTACCAGCTGCGTTGTTGTAAGTATGCTTACGTAATTAATATCACGGTGTTCGTCTCCTATGGTATAGTACTTGACCATAGTATATATTAATAAGTGAAAAAAAAATAGTCGTGTTAAATTGAATAAGAATTATAGAAAACTTGAATTTTGTTTTAATAAAATAAAATTGTATTTTATTAAAAGTTATTAACTTTTAAATAATATTTAAATTTAATTTAATTAATAATTAAATAAAACAATAATTGACAATTGTTATAAATAAAAGAATTTAAATTAAATGACATTTGAATAAAATAATAGTTTATTTTAAAATAACGTCATGAATTATTTTAAATAAATTAAAAAATTTTTCAACTTTAAATTAAATTAAATAAAAATTTATTTTCAGGTATTTTGTGTTTCAATCATTTTAATAGAGTAAGATAGATATTGTTCAGTACTTTAAGTCAATTCTAAATAAAATAAAATAATAATTTTATTTACAATAAATTTATTCAATCATTTAAATTAATATTAAATACAATTTTTAACCATTTTAATAAAATAAATTCATTAACATTAAAATAATTTAAAATAATAACCTAACTTAAAATAATTTCAATCATTTAATAATTTAAAATAATAATTTTATTTTTAAAAAAATTTTTGTCCATCAATTAATTAAATTAAAATTAATAATTAGTTTAACTAAATCTTCAATCGTTAAAATAAAATAATTTAGGTTAAATAATTTAAACTAATAATTCAATTTTAAATTAACATACCATAATTTAAATTTAAAATAAATTTTAACTTAACATAATAAATTAAATGAATCCACGACTCTAGCTTATTTCTGTTGGTGTTCGTGACGGCTAATTTTGCCTGATTCAAATTTATCAGCTTCTTGAAACTTCCCTACCCCTATGTAACTGAAGCTTTATGTCTTGTCTAGGTTGCAATACGGGTTGTCAACTTGAATAATATTCCAAGTAACTAGCATTTCTAGCTCTACATCGGCTATTATTCGACTTGCGGAAGGGCGAAGCAATATCTCGTCTTGTTGAAATTTCCAGATAAACTGTTCTGGAGTTTCCGGGTTTTTTTATTGGTTTTTGCATAAAAATCAAAGGTTTGACTAATTTTGTTTTGTTGGAAGCTGTTAGTGAGATATATGAATTATAAATAAGTCATACTTTTTTATTCATTTTTTTTTTCGGTTTTGACCTCTAATAGGTATAACCATTATCTAACGCCGGAAATATTGACTGTTTTGTTAGTTTTGCCAAAAACTAAAACGTCTTAAGATTGTTCTTGTTTACCTATTATCTATTAATTAACGAAATTAAGTCTTTTATTATTATTTAAGTATGAAATTTTTAAATTTTTTCGTTTTGTTCGCTTTCGTCGGCGTCATCATCGGCGTGTCAAGTGATTGCACTGAAAAGGATTATGTTAATACCCTTAAGATCGGGTCCGGCATTGGTGCGGTTGTTAGTACCGCGGCGACTGTAGGTGCATGTTTTCCTGTTATTGGTATTGCTGCTGTGATTGCTGGAATATTAAGTTCGTCGGGAAAAATGACTCATGTCATTAATGTATCGACTTGTTTGCGGAATAAGGTTTCCTCCTTACCAAATGAATGTCGTGTGCCAATGACTTCCATAGCTGCTGCTACTGGAGTTATACAGTCGACCACCGCCGGTCTTGAAGCTTTGTCCTTGATTCCAGTTGTTGGATGTTTTCTTATACCTCCAAAACTAGGATTAATATCGAGTAATGCCATTGCAATCGATGCTTATGCCGACCAGTGGAAGGAACGGAACTGTCATAGACATATGCCATCTGGTTGTTCATGTGATTTATTTTAATGTTAAATTTTAATAATTCATGTGATTTTATAAAAATGTCTTTCTTTTTTTTTTTTTTAAATTTTTTCTTAATAATCAATTATCCATTATTTATCCATCATTTCATGTTGTACATGTTTTCTTTACGTCTTTCATGTGCTCCTAAATTATGACGTACTAACTAATTTACAATTTACATTATTTTGAATAAAGATAAAGTATGTATTGTGTATGTTTTTACGTCTTTCATACACTTCAAAATTTTATGACGTTAGGACGGGCTTATCAACTGTCCTTTGTTTTTTTTTTAATTTTTTTTTTTTTTAAATAAATCAAATTAAATTTCTTTAAAAATCCTTTATTAATTTCCTCTATTTCCGTTATAAAAAAAAAAAAAAAAGAAAAAAATATTATGTTATGTTGTTATAAAAAGAAATATTGTTATGTTATGTGATGAAAAGTTATGTATTGTAAAAAGAAATTATGTAAAATGAAAATCATTATGTCATGAAAAGAAATTATGTAAAATTGTCGTTATGACAATTATTAACAATTTATATATATTGATATTGTAAAATGATGTACTATGTATTTATGTCTATGTTTTATGTAAATTTTCTTTAAAGATTTTTGTATTTCTACAAATTGTAGCCCTACAATGAGTGAATCAAACATTCAAACATATACATTTATAATCTATTATATTCATGAAAATAAAAAAAATATTTATATATTTTATTCAAGTATCTAGATGAAGATAATAGATAAATGAAAAATGTATCATTGTCTTTTTTAAATGTTTACTTGAAATATACCTAACCAGAATATATGCCAAAATCTTCATTTTTTTTTTTATTAATAAGCGTAAGTTTTCAAATTATATTTTTCAATTCATTATTTGTTAACTCAAATTTCACTGATAACATTATCGAAAGTTAATTCGATATTATAACGTATTATTTGAATAAGTGGTTAGAAAATGTAGAATGCAACGATACAGTCGCCACTCACCGCGTTCAACGTTAAAAACACTTAAACCAGTATACATTCGATTAGGGACGGTTTCTAAATAATTTGAAATCTTCGTACGAATCGTACTTACGTACTTTACAGTTTTACATGTTATTCATATAGATATAGACGAAAAACCAAATCAATTTACTCGCAGTCGCGAAACAAAGTAAAACCGCCGTACATTCGTACTCGGTGGCAATGTGTAGTGAGTCAACCGAAATATTACGTAATACGTAAATATATAATATAATGAATTACGAACAACCAGCGAAATACTTTGTACACATGCAAAGTGCAAATTAATTTTACCGACGTCATAGACCATAATAGTCCATATAGAGAAATCGAAATAAAATATCAAACACGTTAATTCCACACGACTTCATAATATAGGTATAATGTACATATATTATATGCATAAACGAGTGCCCTTACTATAATATTTTATCGCGTGTCACACCACAATATTGTGGACAACGAAATTATCATAATAATCAGTGGCCTAGGTTCGATCACATTTTAAAAATGTGACTGACGTGAAAAAACTAATCCTAAACTCTCAGTTTATAAAGACGAGTCTGGAGCCTTTGAATATAATAATGTATACCTACTAACTGAACTAGGGGAAAGGGGCAAAACAATTTATTCACCAAAATAATCATAACCTATAGGTATAATTACTGTTAGTCTTTACCATAGATAATACATAATGGTTGTATTATCTATGGTTCTTTAACAAATCTAAATAGATAGCAAAGAACAATAGATAGGTACCTCCTAGTTCCTACTCATTTTGCAGAACAAAGAATGAAAGAATTCATAAAAAAGGTGCTATACAAAAGTTAGGTTGTTTAAAAAAAACAATGTGATGACAATCCTGTACCTAATCATAATTCATGAAATATTGGGTTTTTTTCGTTTTACAGATAATGACGTCGACAATATTATTAAACAAGAGAAAAGTGAAATAAATGTATTGTATGCAATAGCTGATAGGAAAAATAAATATTTTGTTAACAAGTGTGTGAAATGTATCGCATGTATGCTTTCTTTATTTTATATGATTAAAAGTTTTTTACTGTTGGCAATTTTTTTTTAGGGGGAAGGGGGTTTGTACTGAGTTATGAATATGTAACGAGCTGTGAGTCCAGGGACTACAATTGTGTGTAGTGTAACGGGCTGTGACTACGTACATATTATAATAGTAATAATATATAAAATATTATATTATATTATGCTGTATTAAGTATAATACGCTTATAATATAATGTGTTATATTCAATAACAGATATAAATGCTGCAGGGGGCACGTAACCCGATAATAGTAATAATATAAGCGTCCGGGCAGCCACATCGATAAGAGCACAGAACTAATTAATGGTACAGGCGTACAGCGCGAACCCTGATAGGTATACGTGCACATTATTCATATCCTAGGAAAGACGAAAAAGCCGTAAACAACAAAAATAGATAACTTTGAAAGTTTGAAAACATATAATCCCAATTAACATTATTTCGTAGAGGACGCCGAAATGACGTCAGGTGTACGCGGCTATGTACCATTTTTATACTAAAAATGCCATAGGAGGGATCTAATAGGAAAACCGACGAAATACGTCGATGGACAAGTGTCCATCAGACGAACACCAGCCGAGACGACGAGCACTATAGCAGAACAGCCACGAAGTCGATACTAAGTCACATCCCGTTTACCACAATTTTATAATTTAATTATTTGGACTTAGTCTATTTTATGTGTCAAATAAATACAACTGAACTATCATTACAAAATCAACTTGTTATTTAATTCAAAATACCATCAATATTGAGTTGAAGTGGTTGGTACGTTACAGTAGTACGACACACTTTGTGTAGTACGAAATACTAAGTGTGGAATACGAAATTAAAAAGTGTGTAATGCCCTGTAATAACTACTATACTAGCTTTTTTTTCCACTTTTTTCTTCATTAATTGAAAAATTATTTGATGTTTCGTTGGGAAATAGACAGATAAGAATTTTAAATATTAATAATAATTATTATGTATTATTAGGAGTCGATTTTACAAGTTTTACTTATAGATACAATATTTAAAATATTACAAAATAAAAATATTTCGTATAATCGATACAAATTACAAATAATTATCAAACAATAGTTACTGAATGTATTTACCTATGTTTTTTTAATAGAACCTTTAACATAATATTCACCTATATGTTGTTTCAAATCAAAAACAAAATAATGTTATTGTTAATGTTTGAACACTATTTATTATACAATCATTTTTTTAATGATAGCTATTCCTAAACCTTGTGTTTATTTATAATTAAATATTAACAATGTGGTAATGACATTAATAAGCTTTTAAAAAACATTTAATCAATCAATTTCATGTGATTATGTGAGTACCTAATATTGAAGTCTGGAATGTTTTTTCCTAGAATCGGGGATTTTTATTTCGCAATTCACTGGCTATAATAGGTATTGTATAGTATTATTATAGTTCTGTGCATTTATTGCAATATTATGTATAATACCGAATTAATTATCGTACCAATATACGGACATAAATCGTTAACTTGCGATGTAGTCTATACTCTGTAGATAAAGAAAAATAGAAATTGATTACTCTATGTTTATGTGTATAGATTCAATACACTTTTTTTGGTGGGGTGGCAAAGCCCCTCGCGGTAACTAAAAGTTTAATATAAAATGTGTAGTACGAAAATAATTATATTTTAGCCTCTGGGCCTGTGACTACGAATATATTAATAATAGTAATAATATATTATATTATATTGTATTAGGTAAAATACGATTATAATATATATTATTATATTCAATAATAGACATAAATGCTACAGGGAGCAAGTAACCCCGATAATAGTAATAATATCAGCATCCGAGCGGCCACATCGATAATAACTAATTAATGGTACAGCCCGAACACGTGATTGGTATACGCGCGCAATATCTATATTCTAGGAAAGACGAAAAAGCCGTAAACAGCGGTAAGCGGAAAAAATGACCACGGAAAAAAAACCCACGAAAATAAAAGTATGTTTTATATTATTTTGTTGATTAACTCAAATACCTATCATAATACAATCACATAGTTATTTTATTTTGTGATAAAACAGTACATAATGTTCAAACTATAAATATAATAATTAACAAATGTCTTAAGTGATGATATCATCACAATATTACAGATAATAATCGTGGGCATTTTTTCCGCGATTCGTAAACAGCACAAATAGATAACTTTGGAAACAATTAATCCATAATTAACATTATTTCGTAGAGGACGCCAGAAATGACCTCAGGTGTACGCGGCTATGTACCATTTATTATACAAAAAAATGCCATAGGAGGGAGCTATTAGAAATACCCGACGGAGTACGTCGATGGACAAGTGTCCATCAGACGAACACCAGCCGAGCAGACGAGCACCAGCAGAGCAGCCACCAAGTCGATACTAAGTCACATCTCGTTTACCACATTATTATAAATTAATTATTTGGACTTACGTGTTAAATAAATACAAATAAACTATCATTAAGAACAATCAAAACAATTTTGAAAATTTTTCATCTTCTAAATTCAATCAAGGAGGAAAATTCATCACTGAATCACGGTTGGGAGATTGATCACCTTCCAGCAACTCCGAGAAAGAATCCTGTACAACTACGTAACACCCAACTACAATCAACATTTCAACCGAGCAAATGGAAGCACCCGCTGTACCAGCTGCGTTGTTGTAAGTATGCTTACGTAATTAATATCACGGTGTTCGTCTCCTATGGTATAGTACTTGACCATAGTATATATTAATAAGTGAAAAAAAAATAGTCGTGTTAAATTGAATAAGAATTATAGAAAACTTGAATTTTGTTTTAATAAAATAAAATTGTATTTTATTAAAAGTTATTAACTTTTAAATAATATTTAAATTTAATTTAATTAATAATTAAATAAAACAATAATTGACAATTGTTATAAATA